CAAATTGATATAAGATAATTATCATTAATAATAATTATTCAGAGAGTTACATAGTATTTATGATCAAATTTAATAAATGTAAAAATAAAAATACTTTAGTTATCACTATGTAAACTTTTAATTCTTACTAAATATAATAAATTATACTTATAAGTAAATTGTAACTCATATTTAGAGCTACAAATCAGTATATGATATTATATACTGATCTTTAATCGAACTCGAACCAAATTCAAACTTGTATAATAGTTCAGTTTGAATTCAGTTCGAACTTTGAACTTTTCTTGAACTCAAGCCAAAATCTGATTCAAGTTCAGTTTAAATTTCGAACTGAACTTGAACCCAAGCAAAAGTCTGATTCAGTTTAGTTCATAGAAACACTACAAATAAGATCATTATAAGTTTATTTACTAACTGTAAAATTAATTAAAAACTTGAATCTGAATTGAAAAAGGAGAAAAAAGTATCTAAGTTTTATATATATTAACTGGTATAGTAATAAAAAGAGTTAAATAACTAAAAAAAATAATTATAGAGATAAAATATATAAAAAAATAAAAAAATTTATAAAGAAAAAGTTAAATAAATATGTATTTAAGAGAGAAATTATAAAAAAATAATATTAATATTTTTATACTTATATTATCATTTTCTAATACTTTTAATATTATTATAATAAAATAAAATTATAAAATATAATAAATTAATATAAAATTAATATAAAACAAAACAAAATAACAAAGTAATCATTATAAGTTATTAAAGTACAATTATTAAAACTGAATTATATTAAAAAAATTATTCATTTCTAACTCAATATGTATTAAGAAAAGTTTATTTAGTTTTAACTTATTAATATAATTATATAATATTTATATTATATTATATAATATAATATAATAATAACAAATATTTATATTATATTATATAATATAATAATAACAAATATTTATATTATATAATATAATATAATAATAACAAATATTTATATTATATAATATAATAATAACAAATATTTATATTATATAATATAATATAATAATAACAAATATTTATATAGTAAAAAGAATAAAAAATAAATTAAATAATATTTTATATTAATAATTAATAATAAATAGATATATGAATATATAAATAATTAAATAAATAAATAATAATTAAAAATTTCTTAATAAATATTATAATAATATCTTTTATATTAATAATTAATATTATTTAATATTTGTAATTATTATTTACATAATTTAGTTGATTAATAATTCTAGAATGTTCCATGAATAATATATTTTCTTATATATATATGTTGTTATACTATTAGTAATTGTTCAATTAGTTACTATAACAATATTATCTATATTAATAATTAATAATTGATATTTGTAATTATTATTTATATAATTTAAATTATTAATAATTCTAGAATATTCTATTAATAATGTATTTTCTTATATATATATGTTGTTATACTATTAGTAATTGTATAATTAATTATTTAGTGGTAAGTGAAAAGAAGCAAGAGTCACAATTAAATGACAAATTTTTATTTTTTTACTCTCAACTCAAAAACTAGCTGTACAAATTAATTTTTCTCTAAAATATCAGAGTCCAATCCTATGCAAAATATAATTGCACCTAATTTTCATCATGAAGGTGAGCTGTTACTTTTATTTCAACTATAACATGCACAATATCCTAGACTGCTTATAACTTCTGATTTACAGAGTATTGGTTAATCACCAACTTTCAGAATTGGTTGGTTGAGTTGTTTGATATATTTTGGATCCAACAAAATCTGAATTCATATTAAAACCAAGATCGAGCTCATATTTCATTAGCTATCGAATTGTTGAACCTCTCCAAAGCATCTGGTTAAAGAGTGGTAGAGAAAATGCTGTCATTACAGAAACAAATAAGATTAGTTTGTGTGAAAGAGAGAGTGTCAGGTATGACTGCTTGTCAACTTGTCACTACGCCCCTCGGTGAATTCGAGAAAGGTTGGGTGCATTATAACTTGATGGGGAGAAGCGCGATGGCTTGCTTTATTTCTATGATTATTTCGTTTGTACATCCTAATTACTGACGTGCACAGTAATATTACTATCAATAAGATTAAAGATATCCAACAATTCTAACTTTTTTTACCTTCTTTATCAACGGTATAAGAATGGATCATCAGAAATCAGTAATATTGTCTGGAACAGGAGCAAAGAGATTGTAAAGTCCAAAGTTCGTTTACCACTTAGCGGACTATTAGCTAAGATGATTAAAAGTTGAGGCCATATTATTAAAAATGTTGCAATGATTCGCTTACTATTTTTATTTCCTCCAATTTTTCAGACGAACATAAAGACAGCTATTTTTAATGAAATCGGAGGTTTCGGAAAAAGAAAAAGGTAAAAAGACGACATGGTTTTCTTTCCAACGAGTCCTAATTTAATCCAAACCTAGCAGAGAGGAAACTGTAACACAGGCGAAAAAGGTGAGATCAACGAGTTACTCTTGGGTAATAAATAACTGACTGACATAACCTTGCGATCTAGATAACGAACCATTAGATCTTGATGCGCAACTTGAAACGAACTTCACCTTTCGAGGCTGATCTGGTAAAATTCGATGAAGCGTACTTGGAATTGGATCCCAATCACATGTGGACGCTTAAGAGTGGTCGCAAAGTGGAAGAGGTCGTCTATGAGAAATTACTGCCTCGGAAGTTAAGAAAATCCAAAACTCAAATGCTCACTTCGGGAATTAATGAAAAAATACGAAAAATTATTTATGAACCGTTTATACCAGATGGTAGCTAATATAATCAAAGTCTTCATTCTGATCTCGATTTTATTAATTATGCATACCGGAGTATGTTATTTCTATGGCAGAAGCTAGAGAATCCTTGACTCTTCGAAGTTAGAGAGCTGGTATGAAATGAACGTTTGGAGCCACTTGGTCGATCCGGCATTTCACGATCTTAACATTGACTTGGTGCGTGGTGAGGGGATGAGCTGTGTTTCTAGTGATAGAAAGAATCTTACAAGAACAATCAATGATCGAAAAAAGATTGGTCGAAAGGGGGATAAGGATCGTCTAGAGTTCGGCGCCATAGAGGCGGGTCGTAAATGGGAGGAGCAGTGTGGGACTAAATACATGACCGATTCTTTAAAGCTCTATGTAAATGTAGAAGGACATGATGGCACAGCTCGTTTCTGCATGTGATGGGAGAGAAGATATTGAAAGTAATCGGGATTCTTCACAGAGCCAGTAAGCAAAATAATATTTTGTTTACAGTCAAAGAATCAGTGGTGATGAGTTGTTTAAGTGTTTTTCTCAATATAGTAAACCATTTTCTAGTACTCGCCGCAATTTTAAAACAAGTTTCTTTTACCAACCTAGTGAACACGAATCAATAATGAGGTTGCTGTATTAATGAACAAATCAGCGGCGTTAGAAAAGATGCGAGTGACCCGTAACAATCATTGGGTTTCTCGATTATTGGATTTGCAAGCTCTGGGTTTAACGTTAATTATGCTATAGTGTCGGAACAGTTGATGAAAAACATATGTATTATATTTAAAAACGTGAATGACTTGGTATTGTTGCATTTTCTGTTTAAATACATATAAATTTATATACTGTATATCTTAGATATTGATATGGTAAAATCTTTTGCAATTCAGGTAATGATTTAATGTAATATTTAAGAAAAATCGATACTGAATTCCAAGATCGTTTTAAGTTCTTTGTCAGTTTGTGAAGCTTTTGCGACAGTTCTGGACTCATTTTTTCCAATATAAAAGGTCAATTTAACCGCAAGAATGTCATTAATAGATTCAACAAAATCTGGAAGAATGACAGTGATCGTTCCGAAAATCTTTACACCTTCATCCGAACACAACTTTACATCGTACTTTTCGGTGACATAAATATTTACGTTCAATAGATTCGCAAAGGGAGAAACTGGCGAGAAAAGAATTGAGAATTCTTGTGTCGTATCAATTAATGTTCCTTTACACGCAATTAGATGAAAAAAGTTCATACGAGGCTGCAGTTGATTTTCATGCTTGTGTCTTGTTTGATTTTCCAATTATTATTAATTCCGATTCCATAATTCCATTTCAAATCTTTTTTGGCGGAATTTTGAAAAGGTCAAGACCATAATAAACAGATCCTCGAATTAATGCAGTTCTAGGATATTGTGGAATAATAATATTCTGCACTTTTCCAGCAAACATTTCTCTTACTCGCTTTGCGAAATAAGGCATTTCAGCAAAAGATCCAACTAAAAATATAGTCTTGATCAGTTGAGAATCCAAAATTTGTTGCATTATATATTCGAGAATTTTGTCGATTTCTAATTCAATATGCTTAAATTTTTCCGCATCTCCTTGAAAGCCGAATACATGCACGGGAAAAAAAACGTTTATAAAGAAGTTCCGAACTAATATTAAGATGCTTTCGAAGGTTTTCGACAGCTTCCTCTCCAAAGTTATATCCCAAATTCTTTTCTCAAATTATTGATACCATACTGATACTCTGAAATTTCCACTAAACTCAAAGATAAATATATTTATCTGTTCTGAATTAAAATAAAAAAAATTCAAGCGATATTTCTTAACTTCTGTTGCAAATTCTAAATTCTTGGATTGAATCGATGAAATATAGTCTGCATTAAAAATGAAATTGCGCAAAACTTGTAATTGATGCCAGGAGCAATTATCTGGCACAGTAAATATATATTTCAGATGTTCAGATTTGATAGATGGCCATCTCGTTAATAATTTATAAAATAAAAATAATTATTAATTTATAAAAGTTTACTATATTATTAAAATATATATTTATTTTAAAAGATTTATTATATCTTATTATATTATATTACAATATATTTTTTATTAGTATTATAATATTTATAATTTTTATTTACAAATAAAATAAATAACTAATTAAATTATATTAAAATTTTAATATTTATAAAAGATTTATTATATAATTACTATAAAAAATCTACAAACTAATAACTCTTAAAAGAAAATTTTTTAAATAATTTTAGAAATAATTTGTATTTTTTAAAAATATCTAATTATTTTCGTGAACTATTATTTTTTATTTAAACTCCAGAATTTACTGGTTAATCTGATTTAATTACAATTTATTTTGTTCTTTTCTAAAAGAATTTTTGATATATTTATATTAAATTATTTCTGGAATTCATAATTTTATAATTCCAATTAATTTTTAATTTTTGATATTTTTTCTAAAATATTTGTATTTTATTCTATATTTTCTAATTTATTTATATTTTATTTCTGATTTATTATTTAAAAAATAGCAATATATAATTTTTATTTTGAAATTCATGTATATTAAATTAGACTAAAAAGAATTTATTGCAACAAGACAAGAATATATTCTTAAAGATTTATATTTTATACTATAAAAAATATAATTAATACTAATAAGTAAATAATAATATTATAGATAAATTTAATTATAGTTCATTATTTATTAGCTTGGTGAAGCTAACTTTCTTTTTAAATATTACATCTTACTGGAATATTACAAAATAATAGATTATAATAATATGTCCAAAAAACTGTATAAAATAATTCCAAATATGTGTTATTCAATAAAATTCATTATTATATCTTGGTTTTATATTAACAAACACAATCTAAATATAAAAAACTCTTAGCTCCAAAATAAATTTCCTTAAATAAATAATTAAAATTTATAATCTGAATTTAATGCAAAAAATTTGCTAATTATAAATTAAGACTCAATAGAAAGACTGCATATTTTACATGTTTTGCATTTTTCAACAAAATTATTTATTAATTACTCATATTTTATTTTATAGGATCTAAAAATTATTAATTCAGTACATAAATAATTCATAGTGAAAATATTTATTTACCTGTGACATCTTTTATGCTTAATGCTTCCGCTTATATTATTATTTGGCAGACGGCACCCGAAATTTACAAAACTTGCCATTTAATATAGCAAACTACGATTTTTAACCGTAAATCAGATGACCAAAATTTCTGAGCACAAGAACACTGATCATCTGCGTCTTTTATCGTTCTATGGTGCATAACATCTAAAGTCATCAAACTTTTGTGTTTTATAAAATGTATAAACATCTTTACTAAGAAGTAAATGTAAAATTTAATCCGTGAATATGCTCAGAAAGGACTATTCTATCATATTCGCGGATTAAATTTTGTATTTGCTTCTTTGTAAAGATGTTTATACATTTTGTAAAATACAAACGTTTGATGACTTTAGA